ACAAAAGTCGGGCTCTTCCTTCACCTGGATGATTGCTACCTCCTCAAGCTAACCCCGACGAAAACACAGATTCCAGCTAGAAAAAAGAAACGGCCAACTGTCTCCACTTCAAAGCATGGCGAGCGACCTGTACTTTCCGCTCGATACTTCTGGGATAATGCCTGCAGGCTGTATGCATGTCGACGGTACTTATCGTCCTTGGCAGATTGAGTGGCCTTTCAGAGCTATCGCCGCAAATGCCAACAGTGTAAGAGGCTCCCTGGCAAAACTGGTCTGGCCCCAGAGTCTCCAGAAAAGCTGCTGGCAGTCAAGTTGCCTAAGTCCTCGAATTGCAGTAGAGCTCGAACGATGTAACTCGTTTAAGATCTTGAAATACATCCGTATTGCACTGCAAAAAGACGGGATCGTTTCTCAAAGGCGTCAAGACTGGAAGACGGTGACCAGGTACTTTAAAAGACCCGGATTTCTAGTGAAGCTGCCTCAAGGCGTCTAAATTGATACGCTTCCCAATCCAACTCAAGACAAACAACGACGGAGCGAGCTTCGATAGGCGTTCAGGCGGGATCTTTGTGGTTATGGAACTCCTCCTCGTCACGTCGCCATTTCTCAAATAAAATACCTCTAAAACGTCGTGGAGAGTGGTGCGAGCAGAAAAGCATCCGCTTGATCTTGAGAAGATCTTCTTCTGAAGGACGCCTCCCTGATACTAACACTCGCAAAGCAGCAGTAAGGTGCCGACAAAGCGTCTTGTCATAGTGAGTTTTTACCCGTAAGTGAAGAATCATTTCCCGCTGGCAAGGGAATTCCAGACGGATATTGCCAGTAGCTCTCTCCCACCAAGTACCGCTCGCTGGCTCCCCCAGTAACTGCAGAGTGGCCACAATTACGTCCATAATCAGGAAGCGGAGCCCTAGGTACTCCGCAACAATAAGCAGAGGAGTGTCTTCTTCGGGAGGTATATCGTACGCAAGGAATGCTGATAACCGCTCTGCATCGTATGTTAGCTTCTCCAATTCCTCGGGGGTGAGTGAGGGCTTTGCAAGGTGGTCGTGTGCACTACACAGCAACGCGGTCGGCTTTGCCGTAGCCCAGCATTCACATCCAGCAATTCTGGGGTTAAATTTTCTCATAAGTTTAGTGTTGTCTACGACCGGTAGACGAACAAACGGGTGACTGGAAGTGGGCAAACTTCCCGAGGTAGGACGGGTTCCAGCACCAACTGCTGATGCCTCCGCTTCCGCGCGTTTAATGACACTATCCTTCCCACGCCGAGCTGTTTGCGTTGGTTGGGCAGACGTCGACGGTTGAGGCTT